CCCGTCAATTCACCTGTGCAATCTTCTAGATACAAATACTCTCACCTTACATCTACCAACCCAAGGTAAGACTTCCTCAATTAATGTCGGTAATATTTTTGTTGAACAGCTAATGTAGTTAATATTATAAACATTGTCTCATTTTCTACTACTGAAATGCTTTATTTAATAGTATCACTATTTTTATTGTGTTAGTTAATGTCATATTATTTTTAATTTTTGACTTTTCTTATATTATACTTCAAAACCAAACATACGATTCTTTGTAGAGATCTGATTTCCGTCATACACCTCCAATTTTGACATTGAGAACTTCTTAAGAAACTTTATAGTATTCATCCAAATAGGAAGTTGATATATCATAGCTAAATTTGCCTCCTACAATTGGTTTTTTTTTTTTTTTTTGGTTAATGGGTAAAAATAATTGGTTAATGGGTAAAAATAATTATATATAAAACGTCATTGAATTAGTCACAAGTATATAACCATTCTATCAATCACAATAATCACAATATTATCCACTATTAGGGAAGTCGAATTCAAGACCACAACCACATTGGTATCAACAATTAATTTCATAGTTGGCATCTTACACATTAGGTATTTATGTCATAATTTAATTTACAATAATGATATATATTCAGAAAAATATTTAAAATTTAAAATGAATCGATGAAATATTATGAGTGTTTCCAACACCACACCAAGTTCAAATCTACGCTATAAATTCAAGTTATGGACATTTTTTTGTGGATAATTTTCCCCTCTTTCTATTTAACAAAAGTCGTTGGACTACTCTTTAACATATACATACACAATTTCTAAATCCCTCAAGGGCACACTTCTCTAAGTAAAAAAAAAAAATTTGTAAGATTTATATTGGTTTGTAAAAAATATATTAAACAAATGCAAAGTTATAAAACTTTTTTTTTTTTTTATTTTTTAATTTCGGTCTGAACTCCTCCCAAATTCTCAATCTGTCAAGGACACACTTCTAGTGGATGGGCCTTCTGAGCTGGGCTGTGAATGGATCGGCCCAAACAAAATATGGGCTTTGCCAAAAAGGCCTACACCCACTTTAGGTTTGAATGAGAGAATTTTTTACTAATTAAAGAATGGAAAACATCTATTTAATTTAATATTTGATGAACCATGTCATTTGCAAATCTTAATATTTCATGAACCAAAGTCAGATATAACTTCACTTTGTTTATGATTTCCCAAATTAAGAATAATTAAAAAGAGACTCTAGCTAGACCATGACCAAAGTCACCCTTAGGTTTGGTAATGTCTTTATTTATAGCTTTTGTTTATCTTTACAAAAGCTTTGAAAATTGTAAATAAATATTTTTTGTGTCCAATTCATTTTCAAATATTTATAGAATTTACTAAATTTATGTAATAAAAAAAAAAATCATTTGTTTCTTACTCTCCTACTTCCTTTAACTGCTATCAACTGTCCATCACCACTACTAGTTATCACATTCATGCCATCTCTTACCACTGTCAATGACTTCTCTAGCCACCACCTCCTATTAGCCACCACTTCCAACTGGCCAAAAATCACCTCCTCCTACTAGCAACCCCTTTCAACTACTACCTTTTATCAACAACCATCTCTAGCCAACACTTCTAATGGTCAGAAATCACCTTTTGCCGCCATTTCTAAGCCCTTAGTAACCAACTCCTGTCATTATCGTTAGTTGACAATCACCCCTCACTTATTTTCAAAATAAATTTGTAAAATGTAGATAGGAGACAATCTATGTTCCTTTACAAAATTCTCTTACCCTTATTTGAATAATTTTTTCAATAAAATGGGTCCCCAAAAATATAAAAATGAAAAACAAGACACTTTTTCCTAATCCAAAATGTTTTTCATTAAATTTTAAAAAAAAATTTAATATTTATCTTTTAAAATCAAAAGTAAATTATATTTTACACTCATACACTTTATGCCAAATTTCATTTTAATTTTCCCTTTTTCAAATATAATAATTAATTCATAATCAAAGTTTGATTTTAATTTTTTGAGTAAATTATCAATAGGTCTTAATGGTTTGACTTAATTCTCATTAAGTCCTATTGAAAATAAGTTCTAATAAAATCGTTGCTAAAAATAATTTTTTGTGAAGATTTTTTTCATATGTCGCTAAAAATTGACAATTAATGTTTTTTTTTTTTGTTATGGTTTTTATAAATTATCTCTAAAAAAAAAATTCGTGATATTTTTCTGTGACAAATTTTTAAACTGTCGCTAAAATTTGAAAATTAATAAAAAAATTTGTGACGATTTTTTTAAGCCGTCACTAAAACTTATAATAAATGACATTTTTTGTGATAATTTTCAAACTGTCTCTGAAAATTAATAATTAATAACTTTTTTTAATAGCGTTTGATGAAAAATGACATTAATTGTCATAAAATCTATTGGATAATAAGTCCATCTATTAGGACCTATATGCAAGTCGCCTTAATTTTTTTAACAAAAATTAGGAGTAAGCTCCTCTCCAGTTGGATTTTGCAATTAGAAGGTATTGTTGAGTTTTTGTGCACCGACCACAAAGTCTGCATCGATAATCCGTATTGTTCATTATGTAGGGCTCGTCGAGTACTTTATCTTTATAAAAAATCGCTTTAATCGAATATCAATTGACACTTGATCGGATCACATTTGTGTCAAAATTTTATTTTAAAAATCATATTTACTGCTGATACAAATGTGATCCGATTAAATGGATATTGATATCCGATCAATATAATTTTTTTACAAAAATAAAATACTTGACGAGCTCTACATATTGAATAGTTCGAATTATTAATACGAATTTCGTGATGAACCTACAAAAGTCTAAGAGTACCTTCCAATTCAATTTGGACTAGAGAGGAGGTTGCTTCCAAAAATTATACTAAGATCTTGTTTGGCATGTTATAGTTTTAGCTTAAAAGCCAAAAAAATTATTAAAAAAATCAAAAAGCCTAATGGATTAATTTAAATATTATCATTTGTTAATTTAAAGCCAAATGGGTGAGAATTTTGCGCCTTTTTTTTTCTTCTATTAATTTTATTGTGGTAATTCAGTTATTCAAATTTTAAATTCAAACAAACTCACTACAAAAAAAATTGTTTTTTGCGACGGCAAAACGCCGTCGCAAATACCCCAAATGTCGTCTCAAAAGGTTTTTGCGACGGCAAGTGGGGGTCGCAACAAAAGGGGTTGCAAAAGGGTTTTAGCGACAGCAAGTGCCGTCGCCTTTGCTTTTGCGACGGGAAAATTCCTTTTTTGCGACAGCAAAAATACCGTCGCTAAAAGTCTATTTGAGACAACAACCTGGGCCGTCGCTAATGACTATTGTCGACGGCTATGATACCGTCGCTAAAGGCCTTATTTTGCAATTATATTCCCTACTTTTTGCGACAGTATAAATGTCGTCGCAAAAAGTCCAATATATAAAATTAAAAAAAATTTAAAAAAATTAAAACAAAAAAAAAAACCTGTAATAAAATTATTAAAAATATGAAAATGACCTGTACTAAATGAAAAATAACTATAAAAAAAAAACCAATAATTATATAATAATATAAAAAGTCCAATATATAAATAAAAATTCATCCATAATTAAAAAGCAAGTTATATTAACAATTCCATCTTCTAGTCAAATGTAAAGTACCACTGAAACACTACAACATAAAAACAAATCCAAGGACAAAAAAAAAATGGAAGAAAAAAAGATGTACATAAGATGGTCACTAGCTACATTAATACTAGAATTGCTTTAATTACGTATCATATAAGATTAACCCAATCCATGCCATGATTGTAATTGTTTTCTGGCACATAAAAAATATTTCCAAACCCTTCCATCCCAAACTCCCCTAGAAAAAGAGGTGGATCCATGGCTTCCATGGAGAACAATGAAGCCGGGCTGTTGCTTGAAACACCATCACATCTCTCCAGTAGCCTCTGTATCTCATTCTCTGCCTCGGAAAGCTGTTCCTTGAGCTTCATTGCCTGTAAATTAACCAATAATTTGTTATAAGATTGTGATGGTTACTTGATTTGGTTTCCAAACCTTAAGAGTGGGGAATTATAATAAAAAAACATGAAGTGGTTGGTGGGTGTGAAAATGTAAAGTAATGCTAGACATTTTTTTAATTGTAGAAAATAAAATATGTAAACCAAAGATTCATTAATCTACATCTTACATTTTATTTTTGTGGACACTTTTTCTAGGTTTGTGGTTTATCCGGAAAGAGTTTTACTACGAATCTAGAAACCAAATACATGAATGAACACAAATATACAGGAATTGACTAGATTTTACAAAATTTATTGGTGCGCCCACTTCTAAAAAATTTGTCTCTCATATAAACCCATCATTCCTGAAGTGACAAATTGAGTTGATGAAGAGTTCATACCTTAATTCACTGATAAAAAGGCAAACATAATAATTCAGCTGAAGCATCATACAAATGATGTAATAGAAATTATGCAAAATTGCATCAACCCACAATGAAAGAAGATGTCTCAGAGAAACAGAACTTGACAAAATAACAGAACTCTAGGCAAAGCCCACTAATCACAGCCTTCTAATTACGTCTCTTACTACTATCATTTGATATATATTATTAGGCAAGTCTATTTGTCAAAATTTTAAAATTTAAAAATGAAAAAAGAAGAGAAGAAAAAAAGTTATTCTGACAAGAATGTGAGGGAGAGTGCTTATTCGCTGATATATGATTACATGGCATACATATGCACGATGAGGCCTCCACTGTGGGACAGTATATGAATTATTTTGGGTTCTTGAAAACAATTATGGTTCTAAATACTTTTTCTGTAATAGATAAGTGATGCATCCATCCCTAATGACGTCAAGAAAGGCAAAAAATGATATTCTAAGAAATCCGGAGAATTAAAGCTACATGATTGTATTTACAAATATAACAAGTTATATTATTAAAACAACACCCTAAGCCACCAAACGAGACACAAACTTAATCACCGAAGAGCTTGAACAACAAATCATATACTAATTCTTAGAAGGACAAGCAATGAATTGATACGATTCTACGATTTGAACTCGAGCAAAACTATGAAAGCAACAAACACCATATTACAGAAACAGAAGCAAAAACACAAACACTTGGCGTAGATGATATCATTTGCAGCATCAAGTCCTCAGATTGAAACCAAAAACTAATTCAATCCCTCCAAACTAATGGAAACAGCAAAGAAAGAAAATTTGAGAGAATTGAAAACAAATACAATGATGTATATGAATTGATTAAGAGAGACTAACCTATTTATGTGGGTTAGACTTAGATTGTGCTCGAAACCCTCCCAACCCAAAGCAAGCAGCAGAAAAGCCGCTAGTTTCTCGATCATGAATACCATTCAACAAAAGTACCTATAAAGGAAGTAAATGCATTAATGCAACATAACAATGTTGAAAACCCTACATAATAAGAGCCACAATAGGTGTTTAATAGCTAGAATCTTCGAATATAATTAATGTCATCCGAACATCAAAGGAATTAAGGACCTCAACTGAATATTTTCAGCAGAGCCAATCACAAAGGAATTAGTAACTTCCTGAACTATCAACCAAATTTACAACAATTACTCAACAGACTCTTTTCTAGTTAAAGAGCATACACATGATGCCTTGATAGAAGATTACCTTGGGGCAAGACCTTGAAGCGATGAGCTCCCCAATGCCAAGTAAAACCTATGTATGGAGAATGATCAGTACAAGATAGAAATTAAAAACTTTCTTTTGTTTTCCCAATTAACAAACCACTGATGACAACTGTTTCATATCAACAGAAAAAACAAGATTAGAGAACCATTACCCACAACAGTGATCAAAGTAAGGCAACAGAAAGAGTTCCAAGAACATGTTTTCATTCAAATTTTAGATTAGTAGATAAGCTTAGATATACAATGCATAATTAGTACAGCAAATAATTTAAATAAGGTGAACATAAGAATATGCCTCTGTTTATTTATGGATTCCAAGTATCTTTGTCAATAATAGTTCCGTTGAATTGATTAACTGATAGATGAACAAATTAAAACATGGAGTAGATGAGCCACCAAACCTCCAGCATGTGATAGGAGTATGACATAGCAAGTAGCAACCATAGAGATTAAAAATCCTTTAAATGACTGACAAGTTTTAATAAGAGAGCAAAGAAGCACTGTTCATGTATTTTCAGCTGCTTTAATACCCCAAGACTCACGTTTCTATAATAACCCCATAATAGCCCAAGAATCAGGCACAAGTAGTGGTGATTCAATCAGCGTCATCTGGACAAGCTAATGCAAAAAAACTGAATAAAATGGAGCTTATAATGCTTTTTCAACACCAAATTTTGAGGAAAGTAAAACAAACATGAATTTAGAAGTATCGTATTTTATCTAACAACTGGATCTTATTTAACTAAACAAGGAATTCAACTGGTCTTGCTAGAGCCTTAATTATTTTATTTATTTTTCTTTAGAGCCAAGATATTGAAATACTGGGTCTCTAATTATAGTAGACCAACCAAACAGAGAGCAATTAAAGAACAAGTTTCAGTCAAAAAACTTCATTACATAATTCTTAGTTCCAACCACTTATAATTGGTAGTGAAGTGGGCACAAACAATAAGCAATAAACCACCACCATTGGGATATTAAACACTCCAACTAATTGCAAAATCATATGATAGGATTTAATTTGAATACATAAAAATCGTAAACCTGATAGAGACCCTCCAGAGAAATGATGCCCACCAATATGTGCCATGAGAAGACCAACCCAAGATCCTCAAAGCTCCCAATTTAGAAAGAAACCTGGCTCTGTAATAGAGGCTGATGTTGTGTTGGAGGAAACACTGACTCAATTCAACTAACTACCAAAACCAACCAACAATCAATAAGTAATCAATATAACTCCAGAAATATAATTGGGAAGATCATTAATGCAATAGATGACTTCTTAGAACAGCAAAGACCTCAAATACTTAGAAAGTGTCAGTTACAATAAATAGCCAGTCATATGATCAAATAATATCCAATCTCATTAGAAAAATTCATTAGTTCAAGCTCAAAACCTTGTACGAAAATTGTAACATTCATTCGAGTAGATGCAAGAAAGTATCCCAAACTAACCTGTTGTAACTAAAAAGTCTTGTCAAGGCATAAAATATACAAACAGTATGTCTGTCGTGAAATAATTTGGTATAAAAAAGTTGCAAGATCTAAAATTTCACATGCAGAAATTGGCTTCTAAGAAACAGGAAACCTCAATAAATGAAAGGAGCAGCAATCCACAAATAAAAAGCCGCTGAGGTGAATTGAACTAATTGTCATATGGCTATGGAGCAATGTTAAAAATCAGAGAGGCTGCGTCACCATTCAGCTTTTTACTGCTAATTTTGGGCACATGACCTCTTCATTATTCAAAACAATTTCTGCCAATTGAATATTGCCACTTAGCCCAAATGCCTTGTATGATGGCATAAATGAAAAGCCGTCAAGAAGTTTCGTGCACTTCAACCCCCACTTCGCCATCAAGAACTCAATTAGATGATGCCCGCTGCACAAAACAAAACAAAACAAATATATAAATACATAATACATTTTTAATAAAATTCAAAGATTAACATTGTTGAAATGTAAACTGCCAACACAAAATCACATTATATGAAATATATGAAAAATACCTTATATTGTGATGGGTTGTTATGAAAACAGATCCTGGAGAATTTTGGAGTAGAAATGTCACAGTGGCAAAGAGATCATCAAAGCCTATTCAAAAACAGACCAAAAACAAAAACAACTACGGATATATGTATGTGTGTAACCAAGATAAGAACAACCCACAAACAAACAAATATCTTACAAACCCAAAACCAACAGCAAACAAATACAGAGTTACATAACATAAACAAAGAAAAATATGAAACTTTTACCGCAGATCTTGACGGGGGCTTCGAGCTCGAAGAGATTGGGTTGTTGGAGGAAGATTTCTCTCGAAACAGTGCAAAACTGACGGATCTCGGCCTCGGAGAGCTGGACCTGGACCTGGCGTACACTCCTCGCCTGCCGAAACTCCAAAAGCCGATTAATGATGTCATCAAGAACTGCAGGGTCCATCCCCTGCCCATTTTGCGCCATCAAACCTCTCTCTCTCCCTCCCTCCCTCCCTCTTCAATTAATTCTTAGGGTTTCACAGAAAAAAAACCCTAGATTTCCAAACACAACGAGAAACAAGAGGTGGAAGATTGAGCGACGAGAGGTGGATCGGAGGCAGAAATTAGGGTTTGAAGAGGATGAATGAGAGAGAGAGAGAGAGAGAGGGCGGGGAGGAGACGAGATCGATGATCTACAAGATCGATGATCTTTTCTCTCTCTCTCTCTCTCTCTCTCTTTTCTTTGCCTGGTTGCCACATCAAAGACTGAACAGATTGGGGATTTTGGGTTTTTGGGGGGAGGGGGAATGGAAAACAACGAACAGATTAGGGATTTTGGGTTTTTGGGGAGGGGGGAAGCGGGAATGGAAAGAGGGAATTGGGGAACTGGGTGGGAATGGAAAGAGGGGGGTGGCCATCGAAATTTTTTTGGATTTTTTTTATTTTTATTTTCATGTGATGGTAGTAGTAATGGTAGTCGTAGAGGTGAAATGGCGACCGTGGTAGTAGTGGTGGTAGTGAAATGGCGTTTGCAGTAGTGGTGAAGGTGGTAGAGGAGATGAGTGGTGAGAGAGAAAGATGAGTGAGAGGCACACACACGCACATAGAGAGACAGAGAGAAAAAAGATGAGAGAAGAGACAGATGAATGAAAGACACAGAGAGAGAGACAAATAGACAGACAGAGAGATGAGAGTGATGAATGAGAGAGAGAAAGAAAATAGAGAGAAAAAGATGAAAAAATGGGTGAAAAGATATAGACAAAGAGAGAAACAGAGAAAGAGAGAGAAAAAGAGTGAAAAGAGATAAACGAGAAAGAGACAGAAAGAGATGAGCGAGAAAGCGAGAGAGAAAAAAAGAAGAGAGACAAAGAGAGAAGATAGATGAAAGAGATAGAGAGAAGAGAGATGGACGAGAGATACAGAGAAAAAGAGAGACAGACAGACAGAAAAAAAGTGATGAGTGATGTAGACACCCCGTTTTTGACCGACCTTAAGACTCAGACGTCACCGATTGAGCGCTCGGTGATGTTGCATATTGTACTCGTTCAGAGGTCGCGGAGTCTCGGTCGTGAGCCTTGCCTCCAGACTTCCGGACTCTTTTGTGCTTTGCCTCGGTTTGCGAACCAGGTCCCGTTTTCTCCGTCTTCTCTTCCCGAAGGGAGGGAGAGGTCTCGTAGATCATCTCTCAGTGGCCGTAGGCTACGTTTCGTGGTCGTAGGCCGTTTTTCCCGTTTCGGAGCCCGGTTCCCGGTTTTCGGAACCGTCGGCCGTGTGCCTCGGTTCGGGACCGCTTAACCACCTCCGTTTGCTCCGATTTTTGGTATACACCCCACCACCATCCATTCCAACGACTTGGAGCTGTTTTTCAGAGCTTAGGAGTACCATTTCTCAAACCAAGAACTGCTGGTCCATTGGTCTTCAAGGGTAAGCTTCTTTTCCTCTTTTTTGTTCCTATCTTGCTCTATATCTAAGCCTTGCTTGAAAGCATTTTTGGGCTCTGACCCAAACTGTAAATAGTCATATTTTAAGCTCCTTTTCATGTTTGATTAAGGACCTTTTACTGTTTGAGGTCTTCTACTATCATTTGCTTCTTTAACTCTCTTTTAGGCCTATTTTTGCATGGTATTTTAGGCTTATTTGTGAGCTGTTTCGGGGCTTGATGTAAACTATAAAGTGTCTTTTTTTGAGTCCCTCTTCAACTTTGTTGAAGGGCTCTCTTCGGTTTAAGGCCAGCAGCTACCACTTGCCTCTTTATCTCTCTTTTAGGCCTATTTTTGAGGGGAAATTTGAATTGATTTTCCCCCCCCCATCTTTCCCCCCTTTTCCTCCATTCCTCCCTCTATAAAACCAGCAGCTCCAGCTGCATTTTGAGGTTAGAAAATCTTGTCTAAGCCTCCTACATTGTATCTCTCTCTCTCTACACTCCAACCCTCAAAACCCCTCAAATCCCACACCCCTTTCCACACCACCACATAGCACCACACCACCAGCATCCTTTCCAACACTTGGAGCTGGTTTTCCGGAGCTTAGGAGCATCTTTTCTCAAGCCAGGAGCTGCTGAAGCTTGGTCTACAAGGGTGAGTCTTCATTCTCCCTCTTTTGTGCTTTATTTTGTTCTATATCTAAGCCATACTTTCTTACATTTTTGGGCTCCGACCCTAACTGAAAATAGCATTATTTTGAGCTCCTTTTCATGTTTGTTTAAGGGCCTCTCCCTGTTTGAGGCTTCCTTTATACACTTGCTTCTTTGCCTCTCTTGTATGCCTCTTTCTTGCATAGTATTTTAGGCATATTTGTAAACTGTTTTGAGCTTGGTTATAAACTAAAAAGTGGCTTATTTTGAGCCCTTATTCAACATTATTGAAGGGATCTTTACTGTTTGAGGCTTCCTTTTGTCACTTGCCTCTTTATTCCTCTTTTGGCCTTATTTTTGCATGTTTTGTTAGCCCCTTGTACTTGTATTTTTGGGCTCCGACCCGAACTTCAAATAGTCATATTTTGACTTGCTTTTCATGTTTGATCAAGGGTCTTTTGCTGTTTGAGGCTCCCTTTTTACACTTTGTGTTTAAACCTTCTTTTAGGCCTATTTCTTGCATAGTATTTTAAGCTTACTTGTATACTGTTTTGGGCTCGGCCATAAACTGTAAAATACCTTTTTTTGAGCCCCTCTTCAACTTTGTTGAAGGGCTCTTCATTGTTTGGAGCCAGAAGCTGCTACTTGCTTCTTTATCTCTCTTTTGGGGCCATTTTTGCATGTTAACTTAGCCCTATTTGTGTTCACTTTTTGGCCTTGCTTAAAACTGGAAATATGGATGTTTTGGGACTGCCTTGATTCTGTCTTTATGCTTCATATTCAAATAATGCATGCTTTGTATAGCTATAAGTCATTCCAGGCGCCTAGTTTCGAGTTTCGGGTCTCATTTCATGCATCGGGTGCCATGTTTCCATGTTTCGGGGCTGTTTTACATCATATTTTGGTACTGAAATTTGCATGTTTGCATATCATGTTTCATACCTTGCCATGCTTTGTTAGAGTGGCATTTGTGCCTTAGGTTCAGTCCTCGGTTTGCGTGCACATGTGCACGCATCTTGAGTGTCTCATTTTTCATCTCATGGCTACTGATGTGAGTGTGGCTGAGGTCCATTCATGTTGGTGTACGTCCATTGTGCATTGTGTATGCCATTTCATTTCATAGCATTGTGTATGCTAGGTTGTATGTTAGCGTATTGTGAATGCCATGTTACCTCGTGCATCGTGTATGCCATTTCATAGCATCGTGCATGCTAGGTTGTATATTAGTTGCATTCATGCATGTCATGCATATTGCATTGTGTTTGGGATAGGCGTTAGCCCGAGCACGGGAAACGAGGGACGTTTCGTACTTCGAGTGACGGAACGTGTCTCAATTCCCAATCACCGACACTCCGGATTATCCATGATGGAGTTTAGGTTTTGTTGTGTTTATATGTGCATTCATTCATATTGAGTCGTACAATTCGACTCCTCGGCCATCATGCATCGAGAGCGTGATTGGTGGCACGAGGATCGAGGACTATACTCCCTGAAGAGTAGTCATGCATACATATGTGAAAATACTTTGCCATGCCCCTTTGTTGCTCTCTGTTGCAGCAATACAGAAATCGGCAGCCTTCCGGAGCTTGGCACGCATTCCAAGAACAATTACAAACAGAGGCAAACCGGGGCATCGCAAGGGATTCTCCGCACAGGCAACCCGAGCATGCATCATTCATCATCCGAGCAGATTTGAGGCAGTCCCTGGCTTGCATGCCAATTTATTGCTTTCCTAATTTAATTTGTTAATTAATTAGGGTTTGTAATTATTTGGACTGTAATTATTTATTCGGGACTGTATTATTTATTCGGACCCTCTGCGCGAGGGCACAACTGTAATAAGTGTGCGTGTGTGTGATGTATGTCTTCCAACCCCACGTCTTTCTCCCTTTTATTTACCCGCTTATGATGGTTATATAGGGCATGTTTCAATTAGCATACAGTATGATAGCATGTTTGCATTCATTCATCTGTTTTGCATGCACCGGGCTCGGCGCATCATACTAACTGCATCGTATTTTCAATTCCAAATTGAATACATGCTAACTGTAGCATTTCATATGCCATGTTTTAGAATAGCCGAGCCTGCTATAGTTGCATTTTTGCATGTGTTGCATTAGGCATTTCTGTATAGTTAGGATCATGCATGGATTTCTAACCTAGCTTCTGTTTTGGCTTAGAGTACTCGGTAAGTTTTATGCTTTAGCATCCTTGCATGCGTGTGAGTGACTGCCATGAATAGTATACTTACCATGAGGCTATGTGCTTATATGATATAACTGCCTGAATGCTGTGGGTGAAGGTTGGGTTATTTGGATTGGAACAATTCATCAAATGTGTGTTTTAAGCCACTAGATAGTGGCAAAATCATATTTTCTAAGCCCACCCAAGGGTGGCAAATCCACGTCTTAGCCTACTTGCGGGTAGCACCATCAAACCATTTTCAAATAAACAAACATGAAATGTTTTGTTCCAATTCAGGCGATCCAGTCTATACTTTATGTTGTGCACATCACATAGTAATCTAGACTAATAACCGGAATAAGAACACACAATGTTTTAAAAAAATAGATATCATGGTTAGTAGAGGTCGATCTTTGATCAGGCGAGCGGGGTGCTCACGAAGTGACCTTCCCCAATCGTACCAAGTTCCCGAGCCGAGGCAACTTTGGTG